TTATTACGCATGTCGAGTAAGTTTTCTTATTGAATAATATATCGAGTCATTATGTATTTGAAGTTACGCTATCACATCGATGTAAATTATCTGAGAATCGAAAGCACATCGTGGCCACTGTTTCAGCAGTGAACGTTCTTCTTAGTTATCGGTGTCCGGAAATAGAGCAGCCTTACTGGATTTAATGATGAATAGGATACATGCCGGCCCCAGCTATATATGATGATGAAATATATATTCATTAATTTATTAATTTATAGGAAAAGTGGAGATCTAGGACGAGATATTATTGTGGAAATTTTTGGGATGAAGTTTGTTGTTCAGTGCAAAGCGTGGTATTCAAAAGATATAGGTATGTTAATTACAAATCACAAAAATAACAATTATCAATGTAACAATTAACAAATAATTTGTTTATAGGTCGTGATAAAATTGATGAGTTTAGAACGGTAGTGAGAGACGGGAAGTACGCATTCGGAGTTTCTGTAGGAGCTTTAGAAGAAAAATTTGCGATAGGAGCTTATAAATCAGCTGAAAGGTCAGAAAGTGATATTATTATCACTGTGTATAATAGAATGTGTCAAGATATAGAAAGGTTTATCACTGGTCGATTTTACGAACAAATTCGTGTATTAGAAGATAGAAATAGATTATTCAGATTAGATTATAATTTAATGTTTTATTCGTTCTCTATCACTTTTGTAATTTTACATTATGTATTATTATTATTTTATAGATATTTATGATACTATCGCATTCTGACCTTTTATTTGTTGTATTTAGATTTTTTACTTTTCTTTATCTTTCTTATTTTATTTTTTTTTTTCTTTTTTTTTGATATAGATTTTTTCGCTAATCCATGTATAAAAACTGTATCAGTGAAATTGCATAAAGATAATGATCTATTTTAATATTTACAAGTGACGGACAATATACTCAGTGTTGAGAATTCAATGTTTTCACTGTTTTCAGAGAGGTCTAGTTTAATATCTCAACATTAAAAATCCCAACAGGTTATATTCCTAATAATTAAAATCCAAAATTAATAGTTAACTATCGTATTAAGATTTTTGATATTGAGAACATTGTGACCCAAAATTTTGATCAAAAGTTTTAAATGATATAAAAATTGAATTTTAAATCTAAAATAAAAAATTAGAGGCAGTATTCTAATATCACATGGGTTATCTCCCAATTTGTGACACCCGTCTTAAAAAAGTTTTTCGCGTATCGGTATCGGTATTTGTCGCACTAGATGCATAAAACACATATCTATTCGCGTCTTATTAATTCTTTTGGCTTTAGAATTCTAAAATGAAGTGAGTATTATATTAAGTTTCTTATTTTGTCTACAAATTATACGGGCCAAGCTAAAGAAGGTTATATAATTTAGGTTTTATATCAGTGATCTG